TTCATCGAAGATATACTCATTTACTCGAGGTCGGAGGCGGATCACGAGGAGCATCTGCGGATAGCATTAAGTACTCTTCAGGAGCATCAGTTGTATGCCAAGTTCAGCAAATGCGAGTTTTGGCTTTCAGAAGTCAGATTTCCTTGGCCACGTCATCAGTAGAGAGGGCATAGCAGTGGACCCGGCTAAGGTTACGGCAGTTCTTGATTGGGAGCCACCGAAGACGGTGACAGAGATTCGCAGCTTTTTGGGATTAGCTAGATATTATAGGAAGTTCATTTCGGACTTCTCGAAGATTGCGATGCCTATTACGCACCTTACGAAGAAGGGTGTACAGTTCATATGGAGCATGGAGTGCCAGAAGGCCTTTGATATTTTGAAGACTAAGTTGACTACAGCGCCGGTTTTGACTATTCTGAGCAGTGACAGGACATTCGTCGTATATACAGATGCATCGTTGGCATACTTGGGAGGCGTATTGATGCAGACTCAGAGGGTAGTAGCTTATATCTCACGGCAGTTGAGGGTGCATGAGCAGAACTATCCCACTCATGATTTGGAGTTGGCAGCAGTGGTATTTGCACTGAAGTCTTGGAGGCACTACCTATATGGAGTGCAGTTTGAGTTATTCACAGACCACCAGAGTCTGAAGTATCTCTTTTCCCAGAAGGAACTCAACCAGAGACAGATGAGATGGATTGAGTTTATTAAGGACTACGAGTTCGCGATCCATAATCATCCGGGGAAGGCGAACGTCGTAGCAGATGCATTAAGCAGGAAGCGTAGACATCAGATTTCAGCTTTGAGATGTTCATTGCATCGGGATCTTATCACTCTTAGCCAGTTTGATTTTAGACCCAAGATTGGAGGAACTAATGTATTTTTGGGAGCTGTGACAGTGCAGCCATCTTGGAGTGACAGAGTTGTCAGAACTCAGTTGGAAAACTATTGAATTCAAATCCAGAAGGAGGAAATTTCCAAAGCGCCTAAGACTGATTGGGCCGTTGGAGCAGATAGAAGTCTACGGATGAAGGATAGACTAGTTATGCCAACCAGTGCAGAGCTTAAGAGGGAGTTGCTAAATGAAGCACATCGTACTCAGTTCATAGTACATTCAGTGACCCCTAAGATGTACAAGGACCTACAAAGACACCTTTGGATGGGGTGTTATGCGTAGGAAGATTTCAAAGTATGTAGCTAAGTATCTTACCTGTCAATGAGTAAAGGCAAAACACCAGAGACCAGTAGGATCACGTCAGCTTTTAACCATTCCGGAGTAGAAGTGGGTGGACATTTCTATGGACCTTATTGTAGAGTTGTCGAAATCGAAGAAAGAGAATGATTCGATTTAGGTGGTAATGGATGGACTGATGAAGTCAATACATTTTTATTACAGCAAGGATTAACTATACAGCTGAGATGTATGCGAGGATACCTATTCAAGAGACTATTCGACTTCATGGAATTCCAGATGCGATAGCATCAGATTGAGATTTTAGTGTTCATTCCACATTTTTGAAAGGGTTTCCAGGATTCTTTTGGGCAACAGATTTATCGTACTGTAGTGCATTTCATCCATAGATGGATGGTCAGACAGAGAGAGTAAATTAGATGTTGGAAAACAGATACCGGGCTTGTGTCATTGACTTTCAAGGTAGCAATTCGGAAGACGGAAAAAGGTTACGACGAGATACATTGGACCGTATCAGATTTTGGAGAGCATTGGAACTGTGTCATACAGACTAGATCTTCTAAAATTGATGTCTAGTATACACAATGTATTTCATGTTTCTATGCTTAAGAAATAATTACATGATGAAGAACAGTAGTGAGTGTTGAACGCATTAGAAATTTAGCTTCAGGATGGTTTGGCTACGATTGAAATCCCAGTTTGTATACTTGCTAGAGAAGACGAGAAATTTAGAAACAAGATATTTTTTTTCCCTTGGAGAAAACTCAGTGGAACCAGAAAGGAGTTGAGATGATCTTCAGGGTCGTGAAGATGTTATGCCGCGCGACTTCCTGAACCTATTGAGGAAGTGCATTGATTTATGTGTACGATTATTTGTGTGGTTATATTTTTATTTAACGCTAGAATGAGGATATTTTCACTTAATTCTTAATCTTTCGGAACACATGTATATATATGGGGGGTTCCTTGTTTGGATTTTTCGCCCTACGTACTAGTTCCATTCGATTAAGGGTTGAGTGGGAATGTATTCATCCTGGACTGTTAAATATAAATAGCCATATATGCTTATCAAGAGTAAAATTCTAAATGTTTCTGGTTGCGGGTTGAATTAGACCCACTATGTGTTTTTCTAGTATTATTATTTGCTTAAGTATGATTTCTGAATTTCGAGGACGAAATTCTTTTAAGGGGGGAAGAATGTAAAACCCCGAAAATTTGAATACTTTATGATAAATAATAATAAATATGTTATACATTTATAAATAATATATTATGATGTTTGAGTATGCTAGGAACTGATTTGAGATCAATTCAATGTATATATGTATATATGTGAGTACAAATACACAAATCATGCACAAAGGCCAAGAGTGAGAATCTGAGAATTTTGACCAGTTGAGTATTTCTATGTTTTTATCACTTATTCATTAAGAATCTAAAAAAGTGTATAATAATAAAGTTGTAGGTCTCTTAAAGAGCTTTCCAACAAATCTTAGATCACCTTATTCCGAGGTCGTATGAGAAAGTTATAGCCAAAATACCAAAGAGAATGTTCCTAGTCAGACTGAAATTCCAGTTTCGGGTTTCGGGTTTCGGGTTTGCTGCTATATATATACATGTTATATCACGAAAATCACCTCTTTTCTTCTGTTTTACAAACCCTAGCAGCCCCCCTCTTCTTTCCCAAACCCTAGATCTGTTCTTGGAGGAGTCGACGTGATATCCATCGGTGTTCAGCGAAGGAGGATCATTCTCACTTGTTTTTGGGAGTTCATCTACACCCCTCAGGCGAGTAACTTCTTGCCCAACTCCACCCCTTTTGTTTTCATGCAAAGTTTGAGTTTTTATTGAATTTATTGGGCCAAAAATCGTATTTTCTTGTAGAGATAGTAGATCTATATGGTACATGTTATGAGAATCATGTTTTCAACTTTAAAAGCTCACCAAAGGACTTTTATCAATAAGATCTAGATCTGAAATTGCCTAAACAAGAGTTAAATCATTTTTTTACAGTTATTAAAACGTTTTTGGTTTGTTTCTCATGGATTTAGAATATTAAAAATGTAGATTTCAAGCTTGGGGTTAGTTGTTTATCTTTAGTATGATTTTTGAATCGTTAAAACTCTTGTTATCGTAGAATATCAAATCTTGTTTCAGGTTTCGAGCTGACAGAAACCCAGAATTGGGTTTCTGTCCGCTTGGCGATCGACCGGAGCGGTCGACCGCCGAGCTCTGTCGGTCGACCGCGACGCTCTGTCGGTCGACCGCGAAGCCGCAGCGGTCGACCGCCAGCCGCGTATCAGAGAGCGGTCGACCGGTGCGGTCGACCGCCGCTCTGTCTGTTGTATAACCCCTGTTTTGTGTATTCTGGGGTATTTCACTCATGTGCGAGAGTTCGCCTGGATTATCTGACATTGGTTTTAGTCTTATTATGTATCCATGCATGATAGATGACCTGAGGGTATAAATTGGGGACTTACACACTGATTTGAGTGTGGATTGATATAAGTAGGTTTTTCTGTATATCTCAGTCCTCGTGTTGGACAAGCATTACCTTTTAGTCCTCGTGTTGGACACCCTTCCCACTTAGTCCTCGTGTTGGACATGCATTGCTATTTAATCCTCGTGTTGGATATACATTACCATCCGGTCCATGCGTTGGACAACGGTCACATCCGGTCCATGCGTTGGACAACGGTTATTTTCAGTTCATGAGTTGGACGTTTACTTCATGCAGTCTATGGGTTGGACGTTTAATTTATATAGTCTATGTTTTGGACACTTAATCGTTTTCTGACATGTCACTCATGTGAGTTTGACATGACACTTATGTAGATTTTGACATGATATTCATGTAAGTAATAACATGATACTCATGTGGGCTATGTCACAACACTGTTTTCATGCTCTGGTGTTCGTCGTATTTCTTTTATTATTATTACTGCACTAGAACCTTGGGTTTGGTATTTAGGAGTTTACAATTTGAGATGTAAGGTATATACATGAGGGTTTCCTTGTTTGGATTATTTCGCTCGACGTACCTATGCACGTGTTGTAAATTTCTAAATACTAAAACCCTCTTTAGTAAGATCAATGATTTTTGATCTCTTATATATTAACTGTATTTTTCTTATACAACGAGCCCTGTTCCCTTGGGGTTGGTTGTGATGTTACTCGCTAGCGCTTTGACGCTCGTTGTCCCTCCCCCTTTCAGGTAACGAGCCAGGAGCCCGGAGAGTCGTAGACTGATGGCGATGCATTTTAGCTTCAGCCGTCTCTTTAGTTATATTTTCTTTTGGAGTTCCACAGTAGATTTTTATTTAGACATTTGAGAGTCTTGTTCTAGAAGTTGTAAAGGCTGTGTGCCTTATTTCCTTTTCGTCAGATATTTGTATTCGAGACTTGTTGAGTATTCCAGTTTATCTACTCAGATCTTGGCTATGTATTTCTGTATGTGGGATGATGAGATATTTATGTGACTGTTATCATTCCATTAGTATATCTTGTATTATCTTTTACCTGTTTTGTACCTACACCAGTTGTTGACTCTACTAGATAGATGTTAATTGTGATGGTGAAACATGTTATTGCACGGTGTGGTGCATGGCAGGTTTGACATTCTTGGTTTCACCTTGGACTGCAGCCTTGTGTGAACCTAGGGGCGTCACATACGCTAAGCGTCTGGAAATAAGTACAATGCGAAGTCACAGGTCCCTGATCACAATCAGCAAGAATATAATAGACAACTCAGAATAAAGAAATATCATATCACAAATGGAATAACATATGAGACATAAAAATATGGGTCAAACATGCCCTTATACAAAACTATCAGAATGAAATACTGGATAATATAAAAATACACTGATCAACAGGAAATAAAAATGCTACAAAACAAGCTGAAAGGAATGACTAAGCTTCGGCTTCTTCTTCTGCTCCATATGGAAGACCTTACTGCTGAGAATCCTCTGGCTCCTACTGAAACTGTTCTTCCTCTAAGTCTGACGTACACCAGAGAAAACAGGTGTACGTCAGGTGCATGGTGCACGGCAAGATCCCACAAAACAATAGAGCGAACGAAAACCCAATGCGAAAAGCAATACGGTAACCAAAATGACAAAAGAAACATGCAACTGGAAATCCAACCAAAACAATCAAGTAACAAGTCGGTCATGCAACTAGTCATCAGAATAATCATCTAGGTAACCATGTCATACAAATAGATGGAATTAATACTTAAAAATCTATAACAAGAGACGTAGTACGTCGAACGAAATAATCCAAACAAGGAAACCCTCATGTATATACCATATATGTCTCAAATTATAGATAATTAAATATTAATCCCGATCTATGTATGAAAAGATAATACAACTGATCCGTATCTTACAAAAAGTCATACCTAGCCTAGAAACGAGGTCAAGTAACTAGTCATCCTATAACAGGTCACTGGTCAATCTCACACTGAGTCAACGCTTCTATCACCGGATAACTGGCTATTCACAAATCTCCTACGCGCATCCAATCCCGCGAAACAGGCGGCTAGAGGACTACACGCAATCCGATCTCAGCCCGGTCCGAACTCAGGCAAAGCTCAGGTGACGGAACAAGTCACGGATCAAAGTGACGAAACAGGCCACTTTGTCCAACAAACCAACCCCAGGATGAAACAGGTCTCTGGTACGAGTCTGGAAGATACATCAACAGCATTATCCGATCACATGAACATTAACTTCCCCATCCCAACACTCTTGTATTTTCTAAGTCAACCATAAACCTCATTGAAACTCGGATTCACCACCTAAACTCAGTCAACCCACTCACACATGTCGCTAGGTCTTATTCATGTCACATAGGTCACTATAGTCATAAACTCCTAACGGTTCTCAATCACAACAAGGAACAATCAATGCAACTAATCATGTACAATAATATCATAGCATATCAGATAATCAAGATTAAGAATTTGAATCATAAAATTGTTCTAAAATAATATTCTGAAATAATAAATTTATTTACTTCAAAGTAATTCCTTTTACAATTTAAATTCTTTTAATCTAATTTCAAAATAATTCTTTTTTCCAAAATAAGTTCTTTTCTCATTATAATAATTCTAAATATAATCTTTTAAAATAATAGATTCATAAATTCAAAAATAATCTTTTTATAAGATTAATTCTCATTAATTCAAAATAGTCTATTTTTCCAAAATAATTTCTTTTTAAAAATATTTATCATTCCCAAAAAATATTCATCATTCTAAAATAATTTCTTCCACAAGATAATTTCTAAAAATTATTATAATTATTCTAAAATGATTCTTTTTCCAAGATAATTCTTTTTAAATTATTATAATTTTCCTAAAATGATTTTATTCTCAAATAAGTTCTTTTTAGTTGATATAATTATCCAAAAATAATTCTGCTACCAAAATAAATTCTTTTAATTTATTATAAATATTCTAAAAGTGCTATTTATCATATTATTATGATTTATCTAATATTATTCACCAAACAATCCCATGCAGATAAATATATCAGATCTAAAATTACAGATAATTCATAATAAATATAAAATTTAGTTCTGAGCAAGTGAGATCTTACCTTGGGTATATCGTGGGCTGAAACATGGGTTGTCGGGGTGGTTGCACAGCGATACGATGGGTTTCGCGGAATCGACGGCTAAAATAATAATTAGAGTGTTAATGCGACGTGCGATATTCGAACGAGTATAACGAGGTGTACATAAGGATCCCAAGTGAAAGGAATATACCGTGTGATAGACAACACGAAGGGCTACGCGCCGGCGAAGGAATCGACGGAAATGGAGGTCGGAGTTGGCCGGAAAATGCGCGTGAAGTCGGCTCTGAACTGCAGTTTTCTGCAGTGACCAAGATCGCTTTCGGACGTTGTTCGGAGCTTGCTGGAGGAGGAGGTCGCCGGCGTCGGTGGCGATGTGTCTAGGAGGCGACGGTGATGCGGGGCGAGGTCGACAGCGAGCGTGTGTGGTGAACAGAGGGAGTAGGGCGCTGAGCAAGGGGGTAGCTGTGGGGGGGTGCGCGAGCTCCGGCCGCTGTGGTGCGCGTTCGAGCTCCGTCGGCGGCGGTGGCAAGGCGAAGGGGTAGCTGGCTCGCGTTCGTTGGAAAGTGGAGGTGGAAGCGGGGGGTCTTAGCGGTGGAGCAAGGAGGAGGAGGTGGTTGTGGGCGGTTTGAGAGGAATCCGCGGGGAGAAGGCGGCGACTTGGGAGCGGGAGGTTGGGTCGGCGACGAGTTGGTGCGGGCGGCGTTGAGACTGGTCGGGCGGCGGTCGGCGAAGAGGAGCGAGGTGGAGCGGCTGCAGGCTGTTGGGGCGTGAGCTTGGGTTGCGCAGTCGTCGGAGCAGCGTGGAGCGGGGGTGACGCGAGGAGAGATGAGAACGTGGAGAGGTGGTGGAGATGGGTTTCTTGAGTTTGAAAAGAGGAGAGAGAGGGTACGGTGAGAGAGTGTAGAGAAAAGAGGATGAGCTGGAGAGTTAAAAAAGAGTGTTTTTTTTAATGAGATAAAGGGGGAGAGAGAGAGAGAGAGAGTGATGGTGAGTGATTGAGTGAGAGAGAGTGAGACGTGAGCTTTTAATGAGAGAGGATAATAGAGAGAGAGTGTCAGATTGAGAGAGATTGAGTGTGAGATTGGAGAGAGAGTAAAAACGACGGAAGATTTTAATGAGGGAGACAGTGCGTGATGGTGTGGTTGGGAGGACGTGGGTTGAGAGCTGGGGGAAAACACGAGACGGAGGGATTTGCGTGAATTGGGGAGAGATATACAGAGTGAACACCGGTGGGAGGAAAAACACAGGGGAAAATACTCTTTTAAATAATTTTAAAAAATATCATAAAATTTATTTAAAATAAATATTAAAATTTATGGTCAAATTAACAATAACAATAACAATGATGAATAACACAAAAATTTGGCGGTTCTCTAGTGCATGTTAGCAGGCGAAAATCTCCCTGCTAACTTGCGCTCCCGCCTAGAAAATGGTGAGAAAAAAAGGGAAAAAAGGGAAAAAAATTCTGGAATTTGGATTAAGATCTTCAAATCTGTTTTCGTCATCTTCTGCTGATCGAGCTGAAACTAATTTCTTTGAAGATGATGAAGAATTAATGGGATCCACAGGCCCAAAAGGGGAAAAGAAGAAGAAGCTATTGTCTGATATTTTAAGCTCAGCAAATCCTATTCAGCCTCAGCTTGATTCTTTGAGGAATGGAGAATTGAGTTCGAATTCGATCTCTGAAGTTTCTTGGGCAGATGAAGTGGAGATGGAAGCATCTCAAGATTCGGTAAGGATTCTTAGATCTAAGACTCCTACAGATGTTCTTGAATCTGTTCCTGCTTTTCTTTCAAATTCTGAATCCAGATCTGCTGAAAATTCTAATCCGGTCATAAATCCGGAGCTAAATCATGGAATCATTGGTAAAAATTCTATTCCATTAAAAACAGTGGTGGTAAATTCTAAAGATTCTTGCTCTGTGAATTTAGTAGATCAGTTCAATGAGAATGTTGATTTTCCTCCTTTGAAGTCTTCAAATATTTCAAATGAGCCTATTCAAGGAATCAAAAAAAGCTGGATCAATTGTTTTGCTGACAATAGAAAAACTGGAAGTGGCTTAGTTTTGGATTATTTACCTCCAGAAAATAAAGACACTGTTACATTTAATGATGAAGAATGGAATGAAGGGGTTTCTATGTGGCAATTCTCATTAGTTGGACAAGTTCTTGGATTAAATGCCAGATTTAAGGCTATGGAGATCTATGTCAAGAAATTATGGTCTAAACTGGCTATTCCTGAAATCTGTTTTCTTAAGCCAGGGATTTTCTTGTTCAATTTTAAAAATAAGGAAGAAATGAATTTGATTTTGGAAAATGGTCCATGGTTCTTTGGATCTCGTCCTCTCTCACTGAAGCCTTGGACAATTGGAGAAGATTATGAGAAAATAAATGAGTGCATCTACCCTGTTTGGGTTCAATTACCAGCTCTTAAGCTAAATCTCTGGAATGCTAAAAGTATCAGCAAGATAGTTAGTGCCATTGGCCGTCCTGTTACAACTGATAAGCTAACGGTAAATAAGCAAAGATTAGCTTGTGCAAGGGTACTTGTGGAAGTAACTATGCCTGCAGATCTACCTGATTTTATTAACTTACAAGGCCCTGATGGAAAGAATTTCAATCAAAAAGTGATATATGAGTTGAAACCTAAATGGTGCACTCAGTGTAAACTAGTGGGGCATGAAACTAAGTTTTGCAGAAAATTCCCATGGGTACAAAAATGGATTCCAAAAGCAAATGGTTCAGGTATACATAATGTGCAGGTTTCAGCTGGTGGACAGGCTAATCCTGTGCATGTTTTGAATGCTGTAAATGATATGTCAAAGTCAGGGGCTATTTCAAATATACAAAGGTCAGCTGGACATAATGTAAAGGATGCTGGTCATGTGCATTCTTTAGATGCTGAAAGGATTTTATCTAGTACTTTGTCAGGTTCATATCTGCACAGGTCATCATGTGCATTCTTTAGATGCTGAAAGGATTTTATCTAGTACTTTGTCAGGTTCATATCTGCACAGGTCAGAAGTGTGGGGGACCATGGAACCTGGTAATTTTATCTAGTACTTTGTCAGGTTCATATCTGCACAGGTCAGAAGTGTGGGGGACCATGGAACCTGGTATACTTCAGCAATCTGATAAAGGAAAGGGAAATCAACTTGATGATAAGACAATGCAAGCTGGCAGCAGTCAATCAGGCTTCAAAGTGAATACTCCCGTGCATGGTGTGCATGTACAGCAGATACCAAATAAGCCTTGGACACTAGTACAAAGTAACAATAAGAAGAAATCTACTCCTACTAATGCTTTCTCTTATTTGGAGTTCTTGGATTTGGATCCCTCTGAAATAGATAGGGGGAGAGGGGGTTGTTGATAAATGAATTTATTTGGAGTTCTTGGATTTGGATCCCTCTGAAATAGATAGGGGGAGAGGGGGTTGTTGATAAATGAATTTGGCTTTTTGGAATGTAAGGGGACTACTCTGAAATAGATAGGGGGAGAGGGGGTTGTTGATAAATGAATTTGGCTTTTTGGAATGTAAGGGGACTAAATAAGTCCTCTAAGCAACAAATGGTCAAGAATCATTTATGGAATTATCATATCTCTTTTATAGCTTTGTTGGAAACAAAAATAAAAGATGCAAATTTGCAAAAAATTGCCAAGAAAATTGCAAATGGCTGGAAATGGACTTCAAATGTAAGAACCCCAGGGAAAGCAAGAGTTATGATCCTTTGGAATCCAAAAATTCTGGATATACAAGTTATTTGTTGCTCTGATCAAAATATCTCCTGTACTGTTAAATCTGTTGATGGGAGTTTAGATTGCATAGTTTCCTCAATATATGGTTTTAATAATTTGGAAGCAAGAAAGGATTTATGGGCTGAATTAAAATCTGTTCATCAGTCTATAGGGGATACTCCTTGGCTCATTTGAGGAGATTTCAACACAATTATTAACAATGAGGAGAAAATTGGAGGGAATTTGCTCTCAGATTCAGATACAGCAGATTTCAGGGAGTTTATTCTTGATTGTCAGCTCTCACATTTGAAATCTTTGGGGTGTTTCTATACCTGGAACAACAAACAAGACTCAGAATTCAGGATCTGGAGTAGATTGGACAGAGTCTTGGTAAATAATAAGTGGATTCAAAACCTCAATGCCAGTCAAGTTGAGTTTCTTATTCCTAATCTTTCTGATCATTCTCCTGGTATTATTACAATAAATGAGGAAGTTTTGAAAGGAAAGAGGCCATTCAAATTTTTCAAAATGTGGACAAAACATATCAGTTTTCTCCCCACAGTTGCATCCACCTGGCAATCTAGAGTAAAAGGCTGCTCTATGTTTTCTGTTTGCTCTAAATTGAAGAAGCTGAAGATTGCTCTAAAAGATATTAACAAAAAACACTTCTACAATATTTGTGAGCAAGTTCTTAATGCTAAATATGCTCTGGAAGTGATTCAAAAAAACCTTCAGACAAGTCCTCTATGTCCTATGTTAATAAAACAGGAAAAAGAGTGTATATCCAATCTTAACAGATTACAAGATTGTGAGCTTTCTTTTCTTCAACAAAAGGCTAGGATTTCCTGGAGTGTTCATGGAGACAGATGTACAAATCTTTTCCATTCCAGGATAAAGGCTGACAGGCACCAAAACAGGATTATGCTCTTATATGATAATTTGGGGCAAAGGATCACTGATGGTGATGGAATAGCTAATGAGTTAATCTCTCACTTCAAAGGTCTCATGGGAACATCTACTGATACTTCTCCTCCAAATATTGACATTATTCATTCAGGTCCATGTTTAAATGCTTCTCAGGCTATGGATTTAATTGCCCCTGTTACCAAGGAAGAAATAAAGGATGCCATTTTCACCATGTCAGACAACAAGGCCCCTGGGCCAGATGGCTACAATATTGAGTTTTACAAGTCTGCCTGGAGCATTATTGGGGATGAAATTACTCAAGCCATAGGGGATTTCTTCAAAAATGGGAAACTGTTAGGTATGGTTAACTCTACTGCCATTTCTCTCATCCCTAAAGTTAAATGTCCTACTTTCCCATCTGAATTTAGGCCTATATCTTGCTGCAATGTCCTCTATAAAATCATTTCAAAAATATTGGTGAATAGAATAAAACCAGTTATGGGGGTTCTAGTCAATGGAGCTCAAAGTGCATTTGTGGAAGGAAGGCAAATCACTAATAATATACTGCTTGCACATGAATTGATCAAGAACTACAACAGGAAATGTATCTCCCCTAGAGTTATGCTTAGTATTGATATCAAAAAAGCTTTCGACACCATCAACTGGAATTTTTTGAGAGATTTGCTGATTGGATTGGGCTTCCCTAATAAGATGGTAGACTGGATTATGACATGTATATCTACCCCTTCTTACTCCATTTCTTTAAATGGATCACTCCATGGATATTTCAAAGGCAAAAGGGGACTGAGACAGGGGGATCCTTTATCCCCATATCTCT